TCATTCCACCCAGGAGAAAACAGAGGCTCAGATAATTAAGATGACTCACCCAAGATCACGTAGCTAAGACTGTGCAGGGCCATGCTTCAGCCCACATCCCTAACTTCAGAGCTCTCCTCATTATAAATTTATATCACTTTCTCATATCAGAGCTGTTCCTTCTATGTCACCCCACAGTGCCCAGCTCAACGCTGGGAACAAAAGAAATTTTATTGAGTGGGTTTAACTTTTGCCTTGTATCCAGGCTTTTGGGCAAGTAAATAAAGCCCCGCCAACTTATGGCTTAAGACTGTATCAATCTAAGATAATTTTCTTAGATTGAGAGGTCAAAATGCAGCTATATTTAAGAAGAGACTTGGTGGGAAGAGGGGGAGCATGAACAGACGGAACAATATCATCATTAATACCACACACTCCCATGCACTTCTTTTCAAAACATTTAAACGTGTAGGCAAAGGGCAAGAAGGTAAAAATTGTCTGTTTCCTGAGGAAGCCAGGCCCAAGTGTGAAAAAATGACATGCAGACAAAGACGCCTGGAGACTCTTATTTTTGGTACAAAAAAAAACATTTCTTTTCAGTTATTAGATTAATTTTGAAATTGCTTATACACTAATACATGTATCTGAGAATCAAGAAAATATGGGTAATAACACTAGCTATGTGGTGGGTGACTTAACGAGGCTTCACTTTGCAAAGTATCTATATATGGTCCTTGAAGACATGAACTCCGTTTCATCCATCATGAACTCCACGCAATCGTCGTATCAGTGCATGAATAAATAAACATATTTATCCAGAAACTACCTTATCACATGAATCAAATTATTTTGAACAGAATATATATGAACGAAAATTTAAATGGATTCCAAACAGCAATGAACTGAGATCTTAGTTGCACTGTAACCATACCAACTTTGGGAATCATCATACTTTTTTTGCTTTTTTAAGCCATTCTAACGGGTATGAAATCGTATTTCATTGTTGTGGCTTTAAATTGCATTTTCCTGTTTCCTAATGCTGAGGAACTCCTTTTATGTGCTTATTAGTCATTCCTGTATGTTCTTCTCGGAAGTGCTTATTCAAGTTTTTACCCCCTTTTTATTGAGTTGCCTTTTTATTGTCAATTTGTAGGAAATCTTTATATATACCAGATGGGAGTCCTTTTGCCAGATGTAGGCACTGAAAATATTTTCTCCCAATCTGTGGTTCACTTATTTCTGCAAAAGCGTGTTTTTGACAAGCTTGAAACACACTCCTATATATCCATCGGTCCCTGGCTCAGGGCAGAGGGGGGTGGGGTTGGGGGGTGTAAGAAAGCCAGTGGTGAGTGTGTATCAAGCCCAGGGAAGGCTGCTGCACCACGTGTTTCCGAGCCAGATGCCTTGTTATATTAAGGCTGGGAGTTTCCATTCTTCATCTTGCGGTCCTTAGTCTGTCCAAAGGAGCTCATGTCCACTGGCTACCTGGAGAGTGTCTCAGGTACACAGACATTAGGGTCAAGGACAAGGTTTACACCAGCAGCAGCACTTTCTGGGCGAAGGGAGGAGTAGAAAGTTCCATGTGTGCATGTGTCCCACATGCACATGATACCCATGATATTAGACATCCAACAACCAGCACCCAACTAAACCACAAATGACAGCAATACAACCCCATTCTAGATATTTCCAGAGATACCCTGTGTCAATTCACATTTGTTTTTGTCTCTCACATAGTCCAAGAACAGTCACAGACGGTGATAAGGCCTGTCATGGCTAATGCAGACAAGGCCAAAAAAAAAGAGTTTTTATAACTTAGTTTTTTTTTTCTTTTTATCAAAATAATGCCTCTGTAGAATAGGAAACCTAGAAAGTACAAATAAGCAAAGGAGAGAAAAAACTCAAAACTCCCAACCACACTCCCCAAAGATGAACTCTTTAATATTTTAGGGTATAAACTTTTAGTCTCTTCTTTTGTATACATGTATCTATGCTTTTGTTTTTGTTTTTGAAAAATGGGTTCATGGAATATACACTATTTTGTAATCTGGTTGCTCCACATTCTTACTGTGAATATTTTTTCATATCATTGCATGGCCTTCTATTCCATAATGTTTAATGGCTGGGTGGTTCTCAATTGAATAGATGCGCCACAGTTTAACCAATTTCCTACTGCTGAAAATTTAGCTTGCTTCCAATTTTTCACTTAAATGCAACACTGAGATAAACATTTTAATAGCTAAATCTTTGAGCATCCAAGATTATTTTCTTAGAATAAATTCCTGGAAGTAGAATTGCTTGGTTAATAGCCATGCAAACATTTTGGGTTTTGACACATATTGGACAACTGCTGTTTTACTAGAGGGAAAAATCTTTAACATTTATGAAGCTAGTATGCACCGGGTGCACCGTGCTAGAGGCTTTAGCTGCATTATGTCTCGCTCACAACAACCCAGCTGAGGCACAGGGCTGCTGAGGCACAAGCCGGGATCAGAACTCACTTGTGTCCCACCTAAAGCCTGTGCTGTTTCAAAACCCCACTCTCTCGGCCTCTATTTAATGTGGTACACAAGTGGGCTAAGGCCCTTCTGAGGACACTTGGGTGGCTTAGCAGCTGGGCATCTGCCTTTGGCTCAGGGCTTGATCCTGGAGTCCTGGGATCCTACATTGGGCTCCCTGCATGGAGCCTGCTTCTCCCTCTGCCTGTGTCTCTACCTCTCTCTGTGTGTGTCTCTCATGCATAAACAAATAAAATCTAAAAAAAAAAAAAGGCCCTTCTTAAGGGCTTTTATAAAAGCTCTATGTTATTGGTGGAGGAGAAGCTGACCGCTATAATAGTATATCTCAGTGACTTAACCCAATAGAGATGGCCCCATGTTTTCATCATAAGGCCAGCAAGGTGGGCAGGGGGGAGGTCATGGCAGGAGGTGTTCCATGTAGTCATTCAGGCTCCCAGGCTCCTACCACCTGTGACTCTCCTTTAAGTCTTCTAGGATCACAGACGGGAGGATTATTTTGGGCTGGGAGCAAGTATGTGGTACGCATCCCTTCTGCTCCTATTCTGTTGGCTACCATTCATTGGCATGGCCGCACTTCCCTGCAAAGGAGGCAGGGACGTGCAATGGGGCTGTGAGCCCAGAAAGAAAACACAGATACGACCAGGCTCTAACAGGATCTGCCACTGTGTTGACGGCAACTGGCTGTTCTTACTAACCCCCAGTTAATTGGCAAAATCCACAAATCCCTCCCTCAGCCTAATAAAGACGTTCAGTGCACTCCCAAGCTGTGTGCTTTGGGGGCGTGGGGAGCTGATAACAGTAACAGAAGCTAACGGTTATGTAGTGTGCTCTGTATACAAGGGAGTATCCTAAATGGGTGAGCACTCAAACTTTGGAGTCAGCCTACCTAGGTTCGAAATCTGGCTGTTAACTTACTAGCTGTGTGGCCTTGGGCAAGCTCCTTAACCCTCGGCTTCAGGTTCCTCATTTGGAAAATGGGGTGAATAATGGCACCCGTATCACAGGTGGTTGTAAGGATTAAATGTGCCATACCTTTAAAGTACTTGGGACGGGGGCACCTGTGGCTCAGTGGTTGAGCGTCTGCCTTCAGCTCAGGTTGTGATCCTGGAGACGCGGGATCGAGTCCCACATCAGGCTCCCTGCATGGAGACTGCTTCTCCCGCTGCCTGTTATTAGGGATAACATAAGGGATGCCTATTTATTTATGAATAAATAAATAAAATCTTTAAAAAATAATCATAATAAAGTACTTGGGACAATGGCTGGCACAGATCAAACCTCATCTGAAATTTAGCTACCGTGGCTGGGATGCCGTGCCAGGTGTCGCACTAAGTGCTCTGAAGTTATCAGACTTCTCTGGGCCACGGTGGTCTCCTCTATAAAGTGGGAGCGATCATTTCTTGCCACTGGGCTCTTGTTGCAACATAGTGAAGTCATTCACGTACAGCACAGCCCAGCATCTTGCCAGAGCGAGCCGCTCGGTGGACGGCAGGCCTGCTTGATGCCCCCCACATGTTCCGATTCATCGGGGGCGGCACAGTCGCCTCACCCACCCTGTGTTGCCGTCGAAGGTCACTGCCGACATTTCCAGGCTCTCATTCACTACTGGCCGAGGGGAAAAGAATTCTATAACCAAAGCCATCTCCTGCACTCAGCCCCTGTCCCATTGTACACGGCGAGCATGGTGCTGCAAGCACATTATTCCACTCCTGAGGACGCCGTGCCCTTCCCCCTCGGGCTCCTATTCAGCTTAGATTAAAAAGGCACTGCCTTTCCCAGCTGCCTTTCTGAAATATTCATCCTGCACACAGAATTCCAGTGCACAAGGCAGCCCCTTCAGAAGCCTGGGGACTTCTTTTTCCAGCAGCGTGCCCACCAGGAGGCCAGGCGGTGACGGGCCCACTGAGCAGCCTGTGGACTAGTCCTGGCCACCACCCAGCTGGCGCGGGACATGCTGCCCACACCAGCCTTCATCCTCCCAGGTCCTGCTTGGTGGCCTCACAGCTCCGCTCTGCCCTTAGACACCCAGAGAGGGCCTCTCTAAAAGGAACCTCATAAGTTCTGTGTCCTGGTCACCTTCCTAGATCTCCTACCTCCCTCTCTGTCTCTCCCCCCACCCAACCCCTATTTGGGCAGACATCCTAGATAAGCATATCTCTTTGGCCCCAAAGAGCCAAATGACCAATAACCGTCCATCTGCCCTGATGTTATATTTGGTTCACTTATGCCCGGGATGTCCTCTCTCTCTCCCCATCCCAGCTCCCGGGACACCAGCGTGCGTCAGAGCCTCAGACTGCCAACACTCTCATTCAATATCCTCTCCCCAGCCCCAGTCCCATTTTCCCTGGACAGTATGTTTGGTGGCCCTGAGCCACCTTGTCCCTCAAAAGACTCAGGGCCTCCCTATCTCCCATGAACTGCTCCACATGCTTGTCGGTAGAATGCCAGTGCACAGTTTTGCAAGTCCACTGATGCCTGAACTGTATTTAAATTCATCTATTCATGCCTTAAACTCATTTCCTTATGAGTAAGGAAAATAACGATTCGGGGTGATGCCCAAATCCTCACTGCTAATGTGAGACGAATTTTTGAACGGGTAAAGGTTGCTCCTAAGGTAACCCGCCTACTTTGTGGGATGCCTGGGAGCCACGAACTGCCCGGATTTAAAAAAAAAAAAATTCATCCATTCACTCAAATATTTAAAGAGTTAAAAAAAATCTTTTAATTAATCATTTAAGGAATGCCTATGTCCAGTCACTGTGCTAGGTGCCAGGAGTACCAGGTCTAATAGGTCATATTCCTGCCTCCACCAAGCTCCCAGTCCAGTGGTGGAGAGAGACCAGGAAATAGATAATGAAGGGATAGCCCGACGGCTGTGAGGATGGGGACATGCTCAGACAGGAGAAATGCCCCAGCTTACAGGGTCAGCAACGGCTTCCCAGATGAGGCTATCACTAGCTGAGTCTTAAATGAAAAGGAGAATCAGGCCCACAGGGGAGCTGGGGCAGCCTTCCAGGCAGCCAAGAGAGCAAGGGTGTAGGCAAAGAGGCAGGAAACAGCAAGGAACCATTACAACCCAGTTTGAACCACTAGATGGAGAGGTGTAGGAATTGGGGCTGCAGAGGGGTGAGCCTAGGTTGTGGTTACAGGGAGGGCCCACTCAGCCAATTTGCCCTGACTTTCCTTTTTCAGCACTGAGAGTCCCACATCCTAGGAATCCCATCCCCCGCCCCCCTCCCCCGCCCCAGTGTCAAGCAAAGTGGGGCAGCTAGTCACCCTCATGGTAGAGCTCTTTGTTGAGTTGAAGGGCTTGGACATTTTGCAGAGGTGACCAGGAGCCCACGGAGGATCACAAGCAGGCAAGACACGATCAGATTTGTATTTACAACCTACGCAGAAGACCTGCTCCAACTGCTTCTGCAGCTGGGCCCAGTGGGCACATCAACCACGGCGTCATAACGTTAGAGCACACCGACCACCGATACTTTGCCATGAAATCGAAGGCTCCGTCACTTGCTGCTGGCCTGCAGTCACAGAGGACACCACGGAGGGTCGCTGGAGATGGAAGCTCCTCCTCCTTGCACACCCACGCGGCTCACGGTAACCTCCTCCGAAGCACTTCACTTCCTGAGCGTTAGATGACAAAACATAGAAATTCCGGAGACAGTCCAAGCATGTCGTGGTCCAGCACGACTTCCAGCTAGTGCCAGACTTTCAGAGCCCCGGGGATAATACATCTAACGCAAGGGGACACCAGTTGCCTAGGGAAATCCGATATGGACAGAATCCCACTGTCACAGGCTTGATGAATATCAATATTGCTGTGTTGGTTCAGATCTCATTGAGGCCAACTAGATTGTTTCCAGAGCAAAGAGAAGACGCACTCTATTATTTATTAGTTTTATTTGTTTGCATAAAAAGATTCCGCTTACATGGCTAATTGCAAGTAATACAACAACCAGGGGGTGAGGAGGATCAGAACAAAAGGGATGTCGGGAAGGTAAAAACCATCCCGGCAGTATTTATCCCTTCCGCAACTATAGTTCAGGATATTAATTATATAACCTTATTATAAATGTCTATAATTATAGACATTATAGCTACCCAAAATATTCATTAAATCTGTCCTTTGAGATGTTCTGAGGGTGATGCGGAGGAGCCTGTTAAGCTCCCGGTGCTGGTGGAGGCAGGAAGTGCTCCCTGGGGAGGCTCGGTGGGCAGGTGAGCGGGGCCGCAGGGTCCCACGCAGACAGCAGAGGCAGGAGGAAGGCACGCGGGTCTCGGGGGTCCCTGGCAACGCAGGCCGTCTGGAGGGAGGCGGAGAAACCCCCCTGAGAAGTACCCACGGGCATGCGGTCAGCACCCCAGGGACACGGCCGGGTCGGGCGATGCTAGGGGAGAGAAGAACCAGGGCGGCGGAGGGGGCCAGACCCAGGAGGCATCGGGGCCAAGGCGACTGCCACTGTCCTGTCCCTACCCTTCCCTCCATAGCGGCCCCTCAGGCGTCTGCTTCAGAACATAACCAGCAAACGGAAAGGAGACGGACATTTCCTAGTGAACCGAGTGTCAGGCCTGGGCACACACTTCTTCCAGAGGTCACTTGGAATTTCTCCGGTCACTGTCACAGCTTCGTGGCTCCCCATCCCGACTGCCATCCTCCTGTCGGGTAACGGACCTTGCGCTTACTCTCTCTCCAACCCTCCCGGCCTCTGCACCCTGTCCCCGGCCGTGGGCGTCCCCGCTCCCTGACCCCCCCCCACCTGGCCTGCCTGACCCTGACCCACGGGGCAAGCCCGCCGGCCTCCCTAGCAGCTACATGAGCCCGGGGAGCTGACCTCCCCTGCCCGCCGTGGAGCTCCACTGCCGCCGCCGCCTCCGTTAGGACTCAGTTTGGGGGCAGCCTGGGGGGCTCAGCGGTTTAGCGCTGCCTTCGACCCAGGGCATGATCCTGGAGTCCTGGGATCGAGTCCCGCATCGGGCTCCCTGCGCGGAGCCTGCTTCTCCCTCTGCCTGTGTCTCTGCCTCTCTCTCTCTCTCTCTCTCTCTCTCTCTCTCTCTCTCTCCCTCGAAGGAATAAATAAATAATCTTAAAAAAAAAAAAGATTCTATTTGGGCAGCAGCATCCCCAGGAAACCTCTCTGGCCCGGTCCCTGCACGTGCTGGGAGAGGAAATCAGGAGAGGGCAAGCGGCTCGCCTGAGAGCACACAGCCAACAGGAGCGGGGCAGGGCTGGCCCCGGCCCACGAGCACCCGCAGAGCCACGTGCCTGACGCGAGCCCGGGTTGCGGACCGAGAACTACAACAGACGCCCCGTCCCCAGGGTGCTCAGCGGCTGGCCCGGCCCACTTCTCGCCAGAACCCCCTCCGCAGGGCCCGGAATGTGCGTACGGATCATCCATTCTCTCCGGGCGGAAAAACACAACCAAAGGTAGCGCCCAACCTGTTCTGGGCCGGGCACTTGGAGGCTCCGGGGGACAAAGTCGGCCTCTGCGACAGGGAGCGCTTCGCGGGCCCGCGGCTCCCCCCGGGCTCCCCCGGGCACCCCACCCCGCGCTCCACCGGCCATTCCCGAGGCGATGGGAGCAGCGTTCATCCCCAGCAGCCCTACCCCCGGCGCGAGGCCAGCTATCAGGGACCCGGTGCACGCACGGCGCCGCCACCCCGCGCCTGCCAGGGCGCTGATAAGGTGCCCTCGCGGGGTCTGGACCAGCAGCAGCAGCCCGGGAAGCGCGGGGCCCCGCGGAGCCAGAGGCACGCTGCCAAGGCATCAGGTCAGGGATGGAGGAACAAAGAACGAAATGACACCCCAAAGCACGGAGGGCTGCACAGGAGAATGAAGCAGGCCTCCCCAGCAGCCCGCCCACCCTGTTTTCCGATGGCCTCACAGGGTCCCCTGCAACTTGGAAGCGGGAATCCAGATGCTGGGTGTGCAAGGGCCCGGTCCGTGACAGCCAAGGCTGGGGGAGAGGTGTGTGTGCAGTACACACCACTTCACGGCGCTGGGAGCTTGTCTGCCACACGCTCCGGGAAATGCTCTCGGCCCTCCCCAGAGAGGAGCTGTTAGTTCCAGGCCCAGGCAGCTCCGCCCCGTCAAATGCTGCCCCCCTCATCATCCACCTGCCTCCCCCAGCCCCACCGTCTTAATCTATTCAAAAGGCTGTTACCCAAATGAATCTTCACTCGGTTCTCATCATCCTTCTCCGCAAGCTGTTAGACCCTGGCTCCTGACTCCTTCAGCTTTCCCAGAGAAAACGCCTCCTCTAGTTTCCCAAAGGAGTGAGACGAGGTAGAAATCCTGGGGGTCTTGGTGGGATGGCCCCAGCTTTGCCCTAGGAAGCAGAGACCCAGCTGGCCATTGTCAGTAAGTCCTTTAACCTCTCTGGGCTTTTAGAGTTTTGTCTGTATGTTAGGTACGAAAGTACTTTATTCTGAATACCCAAGTCATGTTTGGAAACCTCTTCCAACTCGAAGGTCTATGATCAAACCCAAGTCCACGGTCCACCACCTTTCATCCATACATTCTATGTGCGAGGAACACAGAGGGAGAGGGGTGGTCCCTCCCCCACAGAGCCCATGCCTAATGGAGAGTCAAGCATGCAACTATCCAAACACGATAAGAGGCACAGGCACGTTGTAGCCCAGGGCTCTGTGGGAGCTGAGAAGAGCCTCCATATCTGCCTGGAAATGGGCAGAACAGAGCAGGGGATGAACTAGAGGTTAATGGATGGGCAAGATGGGCAAAGGCTTTCCGGGCTGAAGGAAGAGCCAGTGCAAAGGCACGAGGCTACTGGAGAGCCTGGGGCAGCACCCCACCAAGCTCCTGGACCACATCCCTATGTCCCCTGTTCTTATTACCTGCTTGAGACGGCACAGTCAATGCTTTTCAGCTTTTTACAGATCCAGATCCTTTGTGCTACTAACAAGAAAGTAAGATCTGGAAAAAAGATAGGATCAGAACCATGTCTTTCTTGTCCGGTGCCCTTTGCCCACCTCATGTGTTCACAGACTTCTCTGGGCCACCTTATCACTCAAAGTTCCTAGAACACTGGGAATGTTATTCCTTCTGGAACTATCTCCACCCCACTACTTTCTGGACAACTGAGCTCAACACAGAGTGCCATAATGGGAGGGCAGAAAAGTGGCGCATAGGAAACATACCACTCGGGGAAATAAATGCTTATTAAATACACAAACATGTCAAACCTCTGCTTTAGCATCACTTCCTCCTTGAAGCTTTCCCTGACTACTGATTCAGGCCGGGTGTCCCTCCTTTATTTTTCCAGAGCCCAGATGCTAATGCCTGAGCACCTGTCATACTTCTGTATAACTATCCCTCTATTCACTCACTACCTTCCCTGCCAAACTGGGCATTCTAGACATTGTCTGGTATACAGTAGGTCCTCAATGAATGGTTTTGGATGCATGGATGGATAGATGGACAGAAAAACAAGCCTATTTCATTGTGAGACAGTGTGAAATTGTAGGAAGAACTTGAAACCCAAAGGGAAGACTTAGGTTCAAGTGCAGGTCCACCACCATTGGCAGTATGGCTCTGGATGGCTTTCCCATCCCTCAGAACCTCCGGCCCCTCTTCTGTGCTAAGGGAATCTGAATGTACCTACAACCTGGTCATGAGATTTGAATGTGATCACCCCTGTGA